AAGACGGCAGAAGTTCAATGCTACTTTGGTTCCAACCGCTCATGAAATATTTGTCAGCCTTTAGACTCTTGTACGCCTTCATCTGACGTACCACCACGGTTTTTCATCAGTTTTAGCTAGCTATGTAGTTAGCTAAATTACTCCGCTCCTCCAGACTTTAGACGGAGGTGTTTGATCTTTCTCTGTTGCCATTTCTCTGTTAGTTTTTAAAAAATTCTCACCTTTGTGTACAACTATTTTTGGGAGTGGAAAGCAGCCCTTGATTTTCTCCCGATTTGATCGGTTGGAACAGCCGTAAACCAGAGGCATTACTGCTGCAGTATTGAACCAGCCTCCAGTTGGCTGCCCTCCATCTGCGAAGAACCTATTGAGATCCAAGTCCTTAACTTTGAGTTTTGAGACCTAAACAAGTCATAATGCACTCTGTAACCTCTGTCTATAATTTTCAAACCTCACGTTTTGCTTACTTCAATTAGTTTTTTTGTTGGCCACCGTGTACTTTTCGTACATGAACAAAATTATCTTTGGTATCATTTACACCAACTGGCGCTCAGTAACGTAGTTAGTTCTTCATGGTTCTCTTCAGCAACTGGATTTGATGCTGTCGGATTGGTTCAAACTAAATGGATCTGAGGAAGTGTTGACTTGCTTTCAATGTTAGTTGGTTCAGGAAATGTAATGATACGTGGCACAGTTTTTAAATTACGTACTTTTTTAGTCTTTGGCTTTGGGGGAAAGTATCAATTATTTTCAAGTCCAAATGCTCAAGTCACAAGTCAAGTTGCAAGTCTTTTTTATTTGGTCAAGTCACGTCTAAAGACATCAAATTTCTAACTCAAGTTCACATTTTCTGCTTGTAACTCTGATTCTCAGAGGCACTATAGAATTAAAGTTGACCTACTTTAGCATAGATACGTTTAAACTGAGGATGACGTGACCAGATGGGTGTTGGGAAATAACAGGAGAAATATTCATGACCTATTATTCAGCTGTTCACCTTAATGACATGTGATGGTGTCACGTGGCTTAGGCAGGACAAAGCTGATATACAACGTTTGAGGGCAGGTAAACCCTGCAGACCAGCTCTGCTTTCATACTTGGATGATGTGACTCAACGGGCATCTGATGTTAAATGATGTTGGATTTTCATTTTTCGACAAAACACAAACAGGAAGAGGTTTATTCTGCTTTTGTGTGACAATAACATGAAATTTCTCTGAAATGTCGAATGCAACTCAGTCTCAGACCAACATCAGTGTTGAGCTGCAGTATCTAGGATTATTGGAAAAAGTGACGCTGTCCACTCTGACTACATTACCATGCTGTGTGTTTCTCTTCATTAACATCACCATGTTGTTCACCTTGAGGAGTAAACTGGTATTTCGTGAGACCTCCCGTTACATCCTTCTGTTTAACCTCCTTTGTGCAGACACTATGCAGATGGCACTGAGTCAGTTACTGTACCTTCTTTCTATTAGTAGAATAACACTGACGTATCCGTTATGTGGGGTTCTTGTCATGTTCGCCATTCTCACAAAAGAAATCTCCCCTTTCACACTGGTGGTGATGTCTCTGGAGAGATATGTGGCTGTGTGCTACCCACTGAGGCACACTACCATCATCACCATGAGAAACACAGCAGTGGCTATCATTGCAGTTTGGGGCTTTGGTTCACTAAATATCCTCACACGAGTTATTCTACTGTTAGATTTTCCATTTGAAGACCTGGAGAGCCTACAGATGAAAGATTTTTGTGGTTGGTATATAATTCTTCTCGGGCCGATGTCAGATCTTTACAATAAAGGCTACACTTATTTTCTGTTTGTATCAGCTGGTGGGGCGATCACTTGCACCTATATTGGTGTGATGATAGCAGCCAGGTCAGCCTCCACAGACAAAGCTTCAGCCCGAAAGGCTCGTAACACACTGCTGCTGCATGTGGTGCAGCTGGGCCTCAGTCTCTCCTC